AAGTATTTTAAACCTGGGATAACTTGTTTTATTTTTATTTTATTGACTTTAAAAGATCTTAAACAGCAAAAAAATTAAATAAAGATTTTTATCAACGGTGCAGCAACATTGATACTAACTTTGTACTGCTATGGTATTTTATTATTTTCTTTAACACCTTTGTAGTGAACCCATTTTCTTCATATGTCATTGTTGCTTAAACTTCCTCTAAAACAATCTGTTAGCTTGTCGCAATATGTATGAGTATACACATCTTGTGTACGATTCATCTGACAAAGTTTAGGATTTGGAAATGATGAAATGCTTCAGCTGAAATCAAAAACCCATCTCACACACATGTACGAGGGGGTAGAGAAAGCAAGCATTTCCTTTCTTTCTCAAAGTATGAAATGAGGCCGAACACTGTGGCGAGGAAGACCAGGATGATGCTGACACGGCCAGAGACATTTATGCAGGGAGCCTCCTTGATTGGTTTGAACTGGGAGATACTGCACCATCAGGAGCCATACATCAGCCTGACAGCCCATGCAGGCAGCCTCAGTCCAGCCCACTGTGCTCATCTCTCTCGCTAACCACGGTGGCGTATGCATGGCCGTCACGCATAGGGTAGCTGAAACGTATGTCCTGTGGCGTAGTGTGAACTGCATTTTTATATGTGTGCAGCCCATATCTGATTCTCCTCTATTTTTCCCTCTTTTCGTGAGTCGCTGTTTTAGATTTATGAGCGTGAATTGGATTAGAGCTTTTTCCATTACACCGGCACTGTAAATTTTCAGCTGACAAGTTACGGTGTGTGACAAATGTCCTCTGCAGCCTCACTGTCTTTCCAGACATGATGATGGCTTCTGGTGTGAAAGAAGCTGTTCTTCACAGTAAATGGCTCAAGTAGAGTGTAAATGTTTCCAATAGTTGGGTTGGCAGCTTTATCGTTCCATGTGCTGCCCAGGAAAATGAGCACACGTACTGGAGAGAGAGCGAGTGAAATGACTTTTAGGTCATTTGAGGTGAGGGCAGTGTGGAGGCTAAGAACAAAGTTGGAAGGTTGTCACCCTGTGCGCATTCAAAGTGAACCTGAATTTCTGTGCACAACCCATTTTAGGTCCATAATATCTAATTCAGGCAATTTAGCAACTCTTTGTAAACTCTGCCTTGATTGTCTTTAATTCTTTCACAGACATGGATGAACTGGGTGTCGATTGGCTTCAGTATAGCTCTCTTCTTTACTGTGGCGCTGTGCTACAATGCTTCCTGCCCAACCTGTTTCTCTCCATCCAACACTTATTGGACCATGCAGAGGCAGCTGGGAGATCCTATATTCTACCTGCTGTGTGTTGTCACACCTATTGCCGCTCTTCTTCCCAGGTATATCTAACCTACACCCAGTTGGAAGTATTTGATCTAATTCAAATTTCTTTATTTTGCACGGCAAATTCCATATTGTCATTTCACATTTCAAATGAGGGATTATTATTTCTTTTAGTTTAATTTTTTTTGTTGCATTAATGTTTTGCAATTTCATTTTGGGATCCAAATATGGTTTTGCATTTTTGCACATCACAAAAATCTGTGTTAAATTCATGATGTTCAGGCTGGTGTCTAATGCCAGTTTAACTACGGGGCTCATGGGAGTTTTAGTTTTTGCTGACTCTGTTGTTTTCATGTCTCAGATACTTTTATAGAGCTTGTCAGGGAACTCTGTTCCCAAACCCTGTCCACGTGGGAAGACAACTGGACAAACTGCCAGTGGACATGCGCAGGATCTTCCTGAGTCAGAGCCAGATGAAGCTGGGCTCCCTCGGGTCACTGTTTGCCCCCCGTGCCCCATTTTTCCCTCTCTGCAGGCCTTTCCAGAAAGACTACAGGCCTAGGGTAAAACTAACCCACATGAGTGGCACCAAACAGAAGGAGAAAGCTATAGCCAGCCCCATCCCATCAAAGAGCATGGAGATGCGGGACACACCTTTAAGCTCAAAAAACTCTGACAACCATATCACACTCAACTTCAGAATGCAGGAAGAAGTTCAGTCCTGCAGACAGGGCCCAGACAGCCCCCTATCTGAGAGCTTACACTGCATGAAGGAACCTTTGAGTCCCATTACAGGCACTCTGCCGTACACCAAAGACACTCCTGGCTCCAGTACTATTTTGGATAGCACAGGCTTGGAGGCCCCGCTGAGCCCAATAGACCTCTGTCAGGTTGGGTTGCTCACCTCCACTCCATTGCTTCCTCAAACCGAGACTATGCAGCTCAAGTCGCCACCCGGAAGTTGTTTTTTGGGACAAAAGCTAGACGACGAAGACCATTCAAACCAAAAGTCCCTACTGAAACAAGCCGGGGTTGTGGATCACACTCCGTCTACTAGCTGCCTACAGGAACATTCACTCAAAACAACATTTCTATGATGCTTTCTACCTGTTACGCTGATTCAAATTTGCACATTAGCTTTAAGAAATGTTATTATATATTCATGATTATTTTATGAAGATATAGGTTGGTACTATACATGTATAAAGTTTAGAATAAAATTGTTTTATTTTTTTGAGAAAGAGTGGCCAGCATATGCAAACTGGATGGTCTTATGATTTACTTTGACTGACTTTTTAATTTTTTTTTAATCCGTCTCAAAAGTGGAGGAGGTTTGTTTCTCGAGGCAGAAGCAGTCCAGAGACATTCCTTTATCTGTTTATTTGAACCTGGATGTTCTGGCGCACTTTAAAGAACCTTCCTCTCCTACCTTTAGACACTGCTGATAGCTCTATACATTTGTATTTCCCCATCCCAGTACTAAAAACAATCATAGTACCCTTCAATGTCTGAAGCTACAGAAATTTCAGTAATACTTTACAAAAAGTGTACAAGAGAAGTCCTGAACTAATACTTCGTTTTGAATAAAGGCATGAACTAATCAAGAACTAATAGTGTGCGACAGGAGTCATTAATAACAGCCTTAACATCATGTTAGTACATATTTGGTGTACTGTTAGTTAATACATTAACACTTTCAGCTCAACTAAACCAAATTATTTATATTACAAAGAATGTGAAGTGGCAAACCCTACTCTGACTTTAATTAAACATGCATGATTTTAATTCATTATAATGCCTGAATAACCTTTGCTTCACGTTCACATCTGCTGTTTTCTTAATAACATTATTGGATAATCATGCTTTATCATTTAAATGATTTTTAAATGTTTTTTTTTT